AAAGCGAGGGAAAACGAAAACGGAAACGAAAAAGACCGTTTAGGTTCAGCCCTGCCGACTATCAAGGGCGTAGACAACGCCCCTACCCTGGTTTACGAGGCGTTGTGCGCTGAACCTCTTGTGGGCTGACAGGGTAGACTCCGCGTGTCGCGCGGCGCCGTGGCGGCTCTATGGCCTTTGGGAGCTCCCAGGAGGCTCACAGACCACACGCTTGTCACCCAGAGTAGGGGCGTTTTCTCATCCCAGTCGAGACTGATCCTCGTCGCCCTTTTTGAGCTCACAACTCGGGCCTCTGGCGGCCCGCTCGGGACGCTCCGGGCACCCTCGGGAGCGCCCTCGGCGAGGCGCAGCGGCCAGAGGACAAGAGCCGAGGCTGGAAAGCCGCCGAGAGCCAACGGAGACGCTCCGAGCATTTTCGTCAACATCCGGGGCATCTTCCTGGCATCGCTCGGACGTGTGCATTTTTTCTCGGCGAGGGCGATCGAGGAGCATCCTTGATCATTTGGCGAAAAAACCGCACGAAACCGAAAAACGCACATTGAATGGACGACCGAGCGATGCCAGGTCTTGCGCGTTATGCCCCTCCCCCCCACAGTGCAACGCCCCCTGCCCAGTGCGTCCCCAGCACTGCCGCAGAGCTTCTGGCACCCCAGTCTGCCACGGTGGGGGGCGGGAGCGTGAGGCTGGGCCCTCTGTCCCCTCCTTCCCCCTGCCACTTGGCATCGCTCGGAGGTGTGCATGTTTTACCGGCGAGTGCCATCGAGGAGCATTTTTGTTCACGTTGCAAAAAAATACACGCACGAAACCGAAAAATGCATAGGGAATGGATGTCCAAGCGATGGCGAGTTGTGCCCCCTTTCCCCTCCTTCCCCCTGCCATGACGCCCATTCTCGCCGCCAATGTTTGCGACTGGAAAAAAATCACCGAACGCTGAGATGTTTGCTGTGACCCGATCATGTCTGCATCGGGGTCGGCCCGGACAGGAGCTGGGACGAGGACGATCCGTTCCGGAGCGTTCTGGAACCGCAGCGCCCGAGGCATCCTCCAGAGCGAGCCGCCGGATCTCAGAGATCCTCGATGCATCCCCACCTGTTGTGCTCCTCGTCCTGGCGTCGTCGCATCGACGCGATGATTTTTCTCCGACGGACGAGGGAGCCGGCGAGAACGTCCCGAGGCCTTGTAGAGCTCGAGCCCCGGAATGGCGGACGCCGCCCGCGCGAGGCTGTCCGACCTGCTGCAGGACGACCGCTTCCGCGGGGTCTGCAGCGTGCGGCTGCAGGCGCGCGGCTACGTCGTGGTCCCTGCCGGCCTGGAGCGTGTCCCCATCCCTGCGTTAGGGTAGCAAGTCGTGGGAGCCTGCTGTACCCTCTAACGTCCGTCTTCAGCGCCGCTCAGTGGCTGGGAGTCGACGTGGTGGCGCCGATGTTCAGCCACGCGCAGAGGGGGGTGTGGGGAGGGGGGAGGGCTTCTTAGAAGCACCCCTGCTTCTTAGAAGGCGCGGGCCGTCTCTATAGATGTAAGGCCGGCGCCTTCTAAGAAGCACCCCTGCTTCTAAGAAGCCCTCCCCCCACCCCCCTTGTGCGCGCCGCCAAGATGTAGCGTCAGCTAGAATCGATCAGCGTCGGTTCAGCGTCGGTTCCGCGCCGATCAGCGTCGATTCAGTGCCGATGTGCGTCGACTCGCACGAGCCGACAAGATGGTGTGGGGGGGGCTCCCACGAGTTTCCACCGTGGTCGGCGGCTGCAGAGGATCGTCATAGGGGGAGACTCTGGTCCGGAGCTTCTCTGCGCCGCCCACGGGCTCTCGGGGCCATCTCCCACGGGCCCAGGGGCTGTCAAGAGAGAGGTCGGGATCAGGAGCTCGCCCTGGGGCAGGGTCCCAGGGTCCAGGGCCCGCTTCCCGGGCCGGACGAAAGGGGGGGGATTGGGGAAGGGGGGGTTACGAACTTCGCTGCATGCAGCTGGTTTCGGCCTCACCGAGGGGCCCATTCCTCGATACATAGTCGCCTTTCCGGCGCCGGGAGGCGCCGGGAAAATCAGCTACGTGAGGTGATTCTCCCCCCCCCCCCCTTTGCTATCCCCCCCTTTCGCCCGACCCGAAGGTCCCGCTTCCCCCCTTGCCAAGAAGAAGGGCGTGCGGCAGGTTCGCGTCGTGTCGACAGGCGGCGACCCCGCCGCCAGCGTGCAACGTCGAGCGCCGCCAGCGACCCCGAGTCGGTCGGTGTGGAAAGATCTGGCGCTTCGGGAGCGGCCGATCGTTGAAGGTTGATCGGGCGAAGAGAACTATGCACATGCACCGATCCTGGCAAGGCCCATCCTTGACCCAGGATCGGTGCACATGCCTTCCTGGCCAAGGTAGGAGGGCGTATGCACCGATCCTGGGCTCAGGATCGGCCTGGCCAGAATCGGTGCATGTGCATAGTTCTTTTTCCTCTAGTTGAACGAGCTCTGCGGTGGCAGGAACCAACGCCAGGGTCGACACGACACGGATTTGCCGTGGTTGCGCCGGGGTGGTTTTTTGTGTCCGATTTACGTTGTTGGGCCTTTGGGAGGCACCACGTTGCCCCCGTCGGGCATCTTCGGGGCGCGGTGGAGAACTCTGCCGAGGCACTTGCCGCCCCCCAGGGTGCGCGTTGCGCACCACATCTTCTGCAAACCACATCCTTCGGCGTCGCCGACTACGATTGGCATCACCCGATCTCGGTGCCGATCTTACGGATTCTCGCAGTTTCTCTAGGCCTCTCAGATGGGGTCCGAGCAGATGGGGTCGAAGGATCATTCCGCATCGCCGATGCATCGGCGATGCGGCTCGATGCGAAGCCCGAGTTGCTCCACGTCGATGTCGCCGATGTATTGCCGACGTCGGCGATGATATGCCGATGTATCGGCGATGCACCGGTGACGCATCGACGATGCGGCGCAAATCCTCCGACCTCATCTGCTCGGATCCCCCATTGGGAGACCTCCAGTTTCTGAGGGCGCATCCCTAAGACTGTCATCGCCTTCGGGCTTGTCCATCTTGCGGGGGTGGACAGAACCCCCACCCTGACGCGTCGATTCGTGATTCGTCCGTTCTCGGTCCTCGAGAGGGCGCCGCGGCCGGCATTTTCTGGGCTTGCGCCCGCCAGATTGTGGGCCCGAGGTCGTTTTCTTGCAACCACGTTTTCCTAAAGGGGGGCCCTGTACATCGCAGGCCAGCCACACCTGGGGGAGCTGTGGTCCTTACCCCCCTGGGGGACCCATCGATTCCGACACCCCTCTCGAGAGGTCGTCGATGCGATGGGTTCCCCCGGGGGGGTAAGGACCACAGCTCCCCCAGTTGTGGCTGGTCGGCATCGTAGGGATGGGGACACGATCGAGACCGGCTCGCTCTATAGGTCCCCGCGGGCGCTCCCCCGCGCGAGGGCGGCCCCCCCGGAGCCGCCCCCGGGTGCCCCGCGGAGGCCGCTGGTGCGGCCTCGCCGCTGGCCGCGGAGGGGTGCGCGCCCGAGGCACCCCAGCCCAGACATGACCGCGTCGTGTATATATATATATATATATATATATATATATATATGTATGTGTGTATATGTATATATATATATATATATACATATGTGTGTGCGTTTTTAAATAAAAAAGGAGGGAAACAAAACAAAACAACTGCCAATATAAGATAAATACCCCCCCTGCCCTGGTTCCCACACCTCCCCGTGACATCTCGGGGACGCTCCCGGTATTCCGCTCCCCCGGGGACAGCTCGGGGACGCTCCCTGGGGAGCCTCCACAGCGCTCCGGGAGAGGAGTTGGCTTATCAAGCCTAGCTAGAACTTGAGCGCGCGCGATGGTTCTAGTATATTTATTTATTAATTTATTTATTTATTTATCTATTTATTTATTTATTTGTTTATTTATTTATTTATTTATTTATGGATTTGTTTATTTATTTATTTATTTATTTATTTATTTATTTATTTAATTATTTAGTTATTTGTTTATTTATTTATTTATTTATTTATTTATTTATTTATTTATTTATTTATTTATTTATGTATTTATTTATTTATTTTTATATCTACACACACCTATATATATGTGAGCAAACAAAAAACAAGAAACATTGCTCGGCCTCAGATGTTTTCGAGCGCTTCTGTCGTCTGCGTGGGGTTTTCCAGCCTCGGGGTGCACTCCAGCCGCTGCGCCTCGCCGAGGGCGCTCTGGGGGTGCCCAGCGCGTCACGAACGACCGCCAGAGGACCGAGCGCTGAGCTTAAAAGCGCTTGGCATCGCTCGGACGTGGGCATTCTTCCCGCGGCGCGGACCATCAAGGAGCATCTTGGATCATCTCGCGAAAAAGTGCACGCACGACACCGGAACGTGCACGGGAAGTGAACGTCCGAGCGATGGCGAGAACAGGGCGGCGAGGATCAGTCGGGCTGGCTCCCATGAAGACCGGCGCTTGTTGACGGTTTTTGACCTCCAGAGGCTCTCGCCGGTCCGGGACCGTCAAAAAAACGGCACGCGTTTCCGCGTGGCTTCGGGCCCACACCCAACTGGAGGAGTGATCCAAACATGTTTTCAATGTATTGCCCGCTGCCCCCTTCCCCCCACGGACCCCCGATCTTGACGTTGAGTCGGCCGCGGCCGACGGCGAACAAGTCGGATCGCGTGGCGACCCCCGCGCGAACATCCAGATTGGCGGGCGCAGGGAGACGGACCGTGCGCGAGAGGTCCTTCTCCACGGTGGCGCAGGGACCATCACAGGTCGATCCCCCTCGAAACATGTCCCGACGCCAGATTTCGGTATCGTTTCACCGATCCCCATCCCCATCCCCATCCCCATCCCCTTCGAGACCCCCGCCGAAGTGCCGTCCCCAGTTGGGGACACGCCCCTCGAAGCCCGAAGGCAACGGCCCAGATTCCCATCTCTGGGGGGGTACATCGGCCAGCGGGGCCCAGGCCACGCCGCTGGGGGTGGGGATCGGCCAAGGGATACTCCTTGGCAGCGCTCGGACACGTGTGCCTGTCTGCATCGGCGAGGACCATCGAGGAGCATCCTGGAGCCGCGAAAGAATCACGCACGGCATCGAAAAATGCACGGTGAGTGAGCGTCCGAGCGATGGCCAGTACTCCTGCAGAGGCATCCAGCGAGGGCTCCTCCGGCGACGAGGGGCCAGCCGGGTGCGGCCCGTCCCCCCAGCTGTGCGAGCGCCGCACCTTCCTGGAGCTGGCGGCGCCGCCGACGCCGCGGCGGCCGCGGTCGCTGTCGTGCCCCCAGGAGTCGGGAGGGGAAAAAAGTACACACAGGCACCAGTAAGCACAGATGTCTTACAGGATGCTCGGACACATCGCAGGCGGAGGCGAGGGCGAAAGCCCACAGCACGTTGAGCAAGGAGTCAGAGTCGCGGCACGTGTGTGTACGTTTGTGTGTGTCTCCTTGGGCCCCCCCCGTGAGGAGCTCGCGCACTGGAGGAAGCGCAGGTGCCTGAGCCTGGACGCCGAGGCGGACCAGGACTGCGGCCCCCTCGGGGCCGCGGGCGCCGCGGGCTGGTACTCGGAGCCCGCCGAGGATCGAGGGCCAGAATAGCTGCACGAGCACGCGTGCAGTCAAGACGTGCCTGGAGCATCCCTGTGGGGCGCGATCCCTCTCCGGGGTGTGCTGGCATGGGCGGCGGGACTCTCAGCCAAAGCCCGTATTTGGGGCCGTCGGTGGAGCTCTCTGTGAGGGGCACGGTCCGTGCAGCAGGTCTCCGACGCCGAAGCTTTTCGACCACAGCCAGAAGTTGCTACGGCCGGAGCGCGCGTGGAGCGTGGTTCTGGTCATTGTATGGTCTGGGAGGCGAGCTGACGGAAGGCAGACCCCCGCTTCCTCTGACGAAGGTTAGCGGGCGAAGAACGGTTTGCACCAAGAGGAGGAGGAGGAGGAGGAGGAGGAGGAGGAGGAGGAGGAGGAGGAGGAGGGGGAGGAGGAGGAGGAGGAGGAGGGGACGCTTGCCCCCCGAGCGGCGGAGAAGTTTCTACCCTTACGTGGCGCCGCAGCGGTATGAAATTCGCAGCCGCCCAGGGGGCAGGCGTCCTCGATACTCAGGAGGAAAAGAAACACACAGACACAATTAATCGTCGATCTCCAGAAAATATGGGAAAATATGGGAAGTGGGGGGGAAGACAGACACCCAGAAAATATGCGAAAATATGGGGAATCTTTTTATTTGTGTCTATTTATTTGTGTGTCCCAGTTCCCCTTCAGATACACTGGCACCTGACGGCGCTGGGTGGCGCCGGGGCAATCAACTGCAGTCAAGACTCGACTGTACGCAGGAGTGACCTCTAGCCGGAGTGACCTGTGGTGCGGGCCCACGGGGGCCCCCCGAGCGCCGAGCGCGATGCGGTAGCAGCGTCTTGCGCGCTCGTGTTTGGCTCCTCCTCGGCCCCTAGGAAGCCGCGTACCGAAGGTCACTCTTGCCCAGGGTCACTCTGTACGTGTAGCCGAACTGAAGGCGCTGAAACCCGGCGGCGAGCGAGGGGGGGACGTGAGAAGGAGAAGGCCTTCTCCGAAGGCGGTGGGGCTTATCAGAAGCCCTCGCGCCTTCCGAGAGGCGTTCGGCGTCTTCGGGAGAGGCGTAGAAAACTTCTCAGAAGGCCCGGACGCTTCCGAGACTTCTGAGGAGGACCGCCCCTTCGCCTTTCCCCCCCCCCCGGGTTCACCGCCGAGAAATGAGGACAGGCTTGGGATCGGGAGGGGCCCTGGTGTCAGGAGGGAAGAAAACACACAGACACAATCAGTCGTCGATCCCCCCGAAAATATGGGAAACTATGGGCAGTGGGGGGGGGAAGACAAGCACCCCGAAAATATAGGAAAATATGGGAAGTGGGGGAAGGCAAAAACCTTGAAAACATGTGAAAAAATGGGGAGTCCTGTTATTTGTGTGTGTATTTATGTGTGTGTCTCAGGGCCCCTTTCATGGTGTTTCGGCCCCTTCCCTGGGCCCGGGCCCGGGCAGCTGCTGGTGGCCCAGGCCCGCGATGGCCGGGGGAGGCGCCGGCCCAGGGGAACCCCCGCGCGGGCCTCGGAGGGGCCGCGCCCACGCCGCCCCTCCTCCTCCTCTTGCTCCTCTTGCTCCTCCTCCTCCTCCTCCTCCTCCTCCTCCCTCCTCCTCCTCCTCAGCTGCTCCTGGCACAAACCCTCCCACCATGCAGCATCCATGAGAATACCGCACACCCTTCCATTACACATTCTTTGTGGCCTCGCCGCATACGATCACTGGGCAGGAACGCCACGGGACGCACTCGCCCCACGTGGGCCCATGAGTTCTTTTCTCAGATTAGCACTTTACAACCCTCTATCTCTGGTGGAAGTGGACCGACCTTCTCAGACATGGAGAGAAATACACGCAGATATAATCGGCTTGGCTGGCACTCGGATCCGAGCACCCCAAAGCTATCCCGTGCAAGAGTGGCAGCTCGAAGGTGGAGGTTTCGGACTATCTGCAGGCAGGGCAGCGGCTCCTTTTTCGAATCGATCGGCAGGTTGTACGTTGATGATGACGCAGAGGATGCGCAGGGGGATTCGGACGATCACGACACCACCATCGTCAGCGCAGGGCCGTGGCCTCGCCGTGCGGATCGCTCGCGGCTCCCTCGATTTGACTATAGTGCTGTTGTACCCCCCCCGCTGAAGGACGATAATGCCCGCAAGAGACGGGCGCTGGAAAAGGGGTCAAAAGAGCTGGTTCACTGGGCGATACAACAGATCAAGGCGGCGCCAGCCAGATCGACCCCGATCGTGATGGGCGATTTGAACACGGGCTTAGGCCTAAGGAATGGCTCGCTGCTGTCCCCCCCGCAATTCGAGATTGAGGCGAGGGACTCCCTGGACAACATCGGCAGCTATAACTTGGGCAACCACAACGTCATTGGCGACCAGATCTGAGAAGACCTGATTCTACCCCATGATATGATGAATGCTGGCAGCTTCTATGACAAAGCTGGACCTACTTATTATCACTTTGATGGATCGACGAGCACAGTGGACCACATTCTGATGCCATTAACGATTGATGATCATATTAAACGAAGCTTTATACCATGGAGTTCGGCTCGGCGTTTACAGCTGATACCGAGCGCATTGCCGAGAGACCACGTTCCCATCATCGTGGAGTTCACGGCCTATCAGCACCGTAGCCAGGCCGCCGACTTCTTCCGCTGGGATCGTGACAAGCTGGCGGCGGCCTTGCAGGAAGGTGCCGACCGTCTGGAGTTCCAGGAAGATTTGGAGATCGCGTTTACCCAGAGTACGGAGCTGGCGCAGTACGGCGCTGGTGGGGACATCGACAAATATGGGCAGACTTGGGCCACCCTAGCGAGGAAGTGCGCACAACGTTCTGTTCGGCCAAACTCGCCGCACCGAACGCCCTGAGGCTGTCCGTCTTCGCGAACGACGTCGCGAGCTGGTACGACTCCGAGCTGCGGCTCGAGAACGGCTGGGGGATCAGGGCGAGGAGTACGCAGGCGTTCTGAGGCACCTACCGATTCTCTTTCCTGAATACCAGGGGCTGCAGGACATCCGCACCACCCTTCGTCAATTGCGACGACGGGAACTCGCGGAGCGACGGCGGCGACTCGAACGCGACATTCACGAGGCCCACCGCCGCCGTCGCTTTGCGGAGGTGCATCGTTTTTTTTCCTGCAAGCAGCTCGTTGCGGGGGGGGGCCGCAAGAGGAAGTACCGTGTCCCTACACCCCAATCGTCAATGGAGGAGTGGAGGAGGTATCTTGCGGGGTCGCCGTACGAGGGAGGCATGTGCGCCCAGGAGGTCGATTACGCGAACGAGCTCGAGACTAGGCCAGAGTTTTTCGACGCGACCGAGATGTCTGCCGAAACCTACGTGTAGCGTTGGTTTTGGGCCGAGAGAGATCTTCGAGCCACCATCAGGTTCCTAAAAAAAACGCCCAAACAGACGAGCTGCCCCTGCCTGGAGTGCACCGACAGAAGTCTTCTTGGTGGCAGCTGAATCTAGTTACGTTTCACGGGCGGATGAGCCCCGATTAGGACTGGGAGCTGAACGAGTAGGCGAGTTACCCCCATCGCAGGCGCACGCCCACTTGGAGCACCTACACTGGTGGATTCGAGTCTTGAAGCGTGTACCGAAGCTGGCCCATCTCTCCTGGGGATGCCCGATATTGAAGCCGAATGGGAAGCACGGTCCTGGGGGAAAACGACTTATACACGTATTGTGTCCTTATTGGAAGGGCTTTTTTGGAGCCGCCATGCGTCGAGGTACGCAGTCACGAACCCAGGACTGGCCCGCCAATTTCCATGGTTTTCTGCCCGCGCGGCGTCGTGAAGACGCTCTCGCTGTTCAGCTCTGCGTAGGACATCGACTACGGAAGCGAAGGCAAGCCCATCTTAATAACCTACACGATATGTCAAACGCTTTCGCTTCCACCACGCCCGAAGCTCGTCGGCGAGCGATTCGGGACCTCGTCCTTCCCCGAGATCAAGAGATGTTTGAACAACGAGCGGAGCACGCCGCTATCTTCTTGGGGTTTGTCGACGGGGGGGGCGAGCCATGGAGGGATACACGGGACCTAGTCATTCGACACAGATGTGGAGGGTTGATGGGATCTAGCGAAGGGCCCGTGATCTTTGCCAAAATTATGCAACGCCCATTTCACGCCTGGCGCTCGACACGGCCAGCGGAGCTGGCCATTACACTGCAGTGTGGTATCTTCCCCCGCCAGATTGACGGCGGCGCGAGTGTCTTTGCTGATGACATATTTGATAAAATTATTGTACGCAGTGGCGAGGCTGGCGAGGCCCATCTTCTCACGCAGCAGAGCGATGCGACCCTGGACGAGGAGTTGCGTCAGGTAGGCCTTCTCCAGAAGAAGGGGAGGGCGAAATTGTGGCCAGCTTCCATCGGTCCCAGGAGACTAAGAGGTTTGAGGAGCTCACACAGGAAGGGAAGGTTTTACCTCGGGCACGATATCTTGGAGGTAGATATGCTTGGAACCTTGCGACGATGGAGGAGCTACAGTTTAGGTGTTCTGCTATGAGAGTGGGTTGGGCTAAAATGGGAAGTCTGTGGGTAGCCGTATTTCAAGCAAGCTGAAGCTTCTGGCATTCCAGGGGCACGTTATTGAAGCGGGCTTATCGGCGAACGAGGCCTACGCATTCTCGGGAAAAATGACCAACCAGATGGACACTATCGTAGCTAAGTGCCCAAGAGCCTTGGAGAGGGGTAAGGCCACGGACTGGAGTGGCAGCCATCCCCAGAGCCTCCCTCACGCAGTTCTTCGACGTAGGTGGAAGGTGGTTCCTACTAGGTGCGCGCAAGCCTCTAGACGCTTCGCCTGGATCCAGAAGATGGCCCGAGACCCCAAGTCCCACGCCCAGGTGATCGCCGCTCTTTGGGGAACCCTCAATGATGGACCTCCCGCGCTGGGCCCACAAGGGCGCCTCACACGAGATGCCCCACCCTTGGCGCACCAAGTAGAAACCGACTTGTGGCTGTACGCGGGCATCAGTGGCACTGAGGATTTTTTCGGGCGATGGAGTGAGCACGGCTACTCGTACATCGCATTGTTCGATGACGACGGGGTGCGAGACGCTTGGCTTCGCATCGACCGTCGATCCTCAAGGCAGCGATCCTGACAGAGGGCGAGACTGTTTTTTTGTTTCAGAACCTGCGAGGACATGCTCGCGTTGTGGCGCCCCCGACTGAAGAAGAACAGACGGCGTTTGTGCGCACGCTTCGCGACGAGAACGGGGCCCTCTGTTGCCAGACCTTCGAGACCCACGGGGCCCTCACAGCTCATATGTTTCAGTCTCGGGGTGGTGAGCATGGCAAACGAAACCCACTTTTCACGTGTGTGATCTGCAACCAGTGCCCATGGTGCCGCTCGACTTTCTCGACGCGTGATAGTTCCCGCCAACACGTTCGATCGCCCTGGGAGAACCTGAAATGCTACCTCGGTCGGTCTCGTTCCCCGTGGCCCCTGTGTACCCCCAGCGCCATCAAGCGCGCCTACTGCGACGAAACCTTCGAAACCGTGGACGAATATAACGTACATGCCGTGCAGCAACACCTTCCTCAGCCCTCGCCCGTGGCAGTTTCTCCTCAGGCACTTCATCGCCCCCCGACGCCCGCCGACAGCCGGCCGCGCCTGGGCCGCCCACCCAGACCCGACAGCGATGGTCGGACCTCCAGGCGGCGCCGCGGCGGCGGCGGCAGGCGAGGGGGACAAGGGCGGAGCATCCCGCCGTGCTCGACAGCGCGGAGATGGCGACAAAAAGACCGACCTCGGCTTCAAGGGCCAGAAGATGATGCAGGTGCTGATTACCAAGTTTCTGCTGCAGCTCGGTCAGACGAACGTGGAGGGGGTCGCCTTCGACCGTTCCCTGATCGACACAAGCAACCACGAAGCGACAAAGATGAGCGAGTGGGGCACGAAGTACTCGGACGTGGTCGCAGCCCAGGACCGAGGCCACTGCCTCGGACCACCTCACCTCTGGGTCTTCGGCGGCCTACTGATGGGCCCGATGGAGCGCATGGAGGCAGTAGGGGCACAGAAGCTAGCCGAGCTGAGGACCGAGAAGATGGAGGCCATCGCCAAAGCCGACAAGATCCGAATCTGCAAAACGGACAGATACTACGACCAGAAAGCGATGCTGAACCTCGACCCCGCGATCCCGATCACCCTCGACGGCCTGGCCCAGACAGACGAGGAGCTGGAGCAGGGCCGCGCGCCACCCACCCACATGGAAGGGGAACTCCAAGAGAGGATCGAGGCGTACACTGACGCGTGTGCGCTGACGGCGATCGAGGAGCTACACTAGTGGTGAGTGCTGCGGGAGGGGCTCGAAGCGTTCACGACGTTGTGAGTGCTGATAGGGATCGAGGCGTCCCACATTTTGTGAGTGTTGATAGTGTTTGGTGCGGTTCTTCTCATGATACTGATATGGTGCCACTACCTGACAATGAGCGGGTGCAACGATCGTTGTCTTCCTTACTCCGAGCTGCGACGAGACCCTCGGCCTCGATTGCGGCGCCCCCCTCTCCTTCGGCCAGAGCTACACGACCTTCAACAGTGGCCTCGACTATCGGGCCGCGGCCCTCCCGTGCCACTGCGACCCCCAGGGCAGCTACGCGTCCCAGGGGAACGACGACGGCCACCCCCACCCCTTCGGCGGCGCGGGGGCCCCGCACTCGCAGTTCTAGGCGCGGACCGTCCCCGTTGACGGCTGAGTTCTGGGAAGCTAGAAAAAATGAGGCCCCTGACTCAGTATGTGTAAATACGTACCTTGAACGTCGGGGGATCCACAAGAGGCACCCCAAATATCAAATCATGTTTCAGAGCCAGCAGATTCTGACACTAGCTAGAAGAGAATTCGAGCAGGTGCAGACCTAACCCCCTCTCGGGCCCCTGGGCCCTCGTGTCGTCGTCGTTCGTGCCGCCGTCTGTCTGTCGTGTCGTCCCGCTCCCTTGCTCCTGTTGGGCCCCGTTTTGGGTAATGCGTTCCCGTGACGGTCCCTGGGGCTCAGGACGCTAGCCTTCGGCGTAAGCCTCGGAGGCACTCCTGCCCTGGGCCTGATCCCACTTCCTGGGATTTTCCTCCGAGCCTGGTTTCAACCCGTAGTTGACCAAGACAAGAGGTTCTCTGGAGCTCTGATCCTGATCCTGATCCTCCTCCTCCTCCTCCTCCTCCTCCTCCCTCCTCCTCCTCCTCCTCCCTCCTCCTCCCTCCTCCTCCTCCTCCTCCTCCCTCCTCCCTCCTCCTCCTCCCTCCTCCTCCTCCTCCTCCTCCTCCTCCTCCTCCTTTTCCTTCTCCTCCTCCTCCTCCTCCTCCTTCTCCAGGCACGCTCGCGCCGTGAAAGCATCGCGGCGGGAGGCCTGCGGCTGCTGTCAGCCTCTGTCGGGGGTGGATCGACCTCCTACCCTGACACGTCGATTCAGGAATTGGCCGTTTTCGGTTCGCGGGAGGGCCTCGCGGCCGGCATTTCTGCGGGCCCAGGTCCGTCGAGCTCGGTCCCGGGCCGTCTTCACCAAGGAGAGGTTTACGAAAGGGAGGCTTGTCCACCGCAGACTCTGGGGGCCCTCGCGCCGGCACCTGGGCTGTCAAAGAACGGCTGAAGACGAAAAAATGGCCTTGCGGGGCCTAGTTCGATCCGATCGGTCTGGTTCCATGCCGGCTCTGACCGGGCCGATGCGACTCGACGAAGGCATTTCGGGCGATGCGATGCGGCCCGATGCTCGCATGGCGCCGTTGTGCATCGTGGGCCCGCCGATCAGATTCGCTTCCGACTCCATGCCGGTGCAGCCCGATCCGACGAAGTGCCCGTCTCGATCCGACTTCCCGATTCGATGCTGGCCGATCCTGCCCTGGGGCAAGGGTCGGGACGTCGGGTAGGGCGACGGGATCTTGTATATATGCTCCTTGGCCAGGCCCATCTTGAACCCACAGCGTATACGCACCCTGGGGTTCAGGCTGGGCCTAGCCAAGGAGCAGCGGATGCGTGCAGATTTCGCGGCAAGACGTCGCACGACTGGCCGTGGCTCCTCGAGAGGAGGAGGCCCAGAGCGAAGAGGCGGCCGCGGCCGCGGCCGGCGCCCTCCCCGCGGCGGCGAGGGTCCGGTTCTGTGTGGACGAGCCGCTGCCACTGGAGGAGTCGGGGCTCCTGCCCAGGACGCGGCTTTTTGGGGCTCCAACGATCAACACACTCGACCAAGATAGTACGGATGCGCGGTGAGGATGCAAGGGCCTTGGAACGCCATGTTGACGTTTTCCGCGAGGAGCGCAGCAGTACGCCGAAGGATGCCGAATACCGAAGGGGCAAGGAAGCAAGGGTAGCCTTGGAAAGTTGCCCCATCCTTACTATCATGGTTGACTGTAGGTCCCCCAGATGGGGTCGGAGGATCGCGCCGCATCGCCGATGCAGCTCCTTGTGGAGCCCGACTCGCTTCGCCTCGACGCCGCCGATGCGTCGGCGATGCATCCATCGGCGATGCGTCGGCGATGCTGTGCAATCCTCCGACCCCATCTACTAGTACCCCATCTAGGCGGCCTCTAAATGAGAACCTGGGTTATCGGGCCCGCCTGCCACCTCCCTTCCCCCCAGAGAACCTGACCTTGTCGGTTGCGCAGCCCCATAGGGGGAACGCAGTGTTGGTGCGCGAAGGCATACGTGGGGCTGCCCAAGACGAAATGTTTAGGTTATCAGCTGGCACCTCCCCCCCACCCCACTGGATGGTCTGGGCCATCGCCGAAAAAGCAAACACAAAACCAAAAAAAAGACGATCTCCAGCTGCGTGCCCCTGGCGACGCCGTCGCCCCCGTGCCGCGTGTGGCCCGGGCACCTCCAGGGGGCGGCGTCGGAGGATGCGGCCGCGGGCGCGCGCCGCGTGGCGCTGTGCCCTGCGGCGCACCTGGATGCGGTGGCGGAGGAGGGCGGAGGCCTTGGGATCAGAAGCGGCGTGAGCGCCTGGTCCGAGCAGTGGCGAAGCCTGACGTGCCCTGTGGCCCACCACAGGTCGAGCAGAGGATCGAAAAGAGAATTGATGTGCCTCCAAACTGATTTTCCCGTCGACTCTGCAAAAAGAGTAGAGTGCTCCGTAGACCTACGGAGCACTATACTTTTTGCCGTAGTTTCGGCTTGAAAAAATAGTTTGGGGTAAATAATTCCTGTAGTCGATCCCCTACTCGAACCAAAGGATGTTATCGTAACCTTTTCTTGGCCTCCCAGATGGGGTAGGAGTAGATGGGGTCGGAGGATCGCGCGGCACCGCCGGAGCATCGGCTATGCGGCTCGATGTGGAGCCCGATGTTTTCCACGCCGACGTCGCCGATGCGTCGCCGACGTCCCCGAGGCATTGGCGATGCGGCGCGATCCTCCATCCCCCATCTACTCCGACCCCATCTAGGAAGCCTGTAATTGAGTGATGTGCACGAAAATGTTCGTAGAACATTTCTGGCTGAGACGGGCTTTTTTGACCACACTGGTCGTAAATCAGTTTGAAGAGCATTGCCTTCTTATGTTTCGAAGACTTTTTGTCTTCTAAGAACGTGTCGTGCCATTCCTATCGGAACACCAGGACGGCTGGCCCCTTCTCACTTCGGGGGCCTCCAGAGGGGGGGGGATGGGGGGATATTAGGGGATTGTGCGCATCATGGTCAGGGCCATGAAGTCCTCGGCGTTCTGCCTGGGCCCAACCTCGGGGCGGCCGGTCCGCGGCGAGGTAGGAGCTAACGCTGCGTCGACGCCCGTGTCCTCGGCACCAGGGCTGAACCTTAACGGTGTTTTGGCCACCTCGTGGGCCGTTTTGTTCCCTACCTAGGCTCTGCCTAGAAGGGTTCTTATTCTATGTGCTTAAAGGGGCGGGCAGTGGAAATCGTCCAGGGCGGTTCCCCCGGCATCCGCCCCGCGGTTCCCCCAGTTACGTCCCCTTAGCTTAGCGTTGCTTATCTCATCTTAGTTTAGCTTAGCTTAGCCTAGCCTAGCCTAGCTGAGCTTAGCGCAGCGCAGCGCAGCATTAGCATAGCATAGCATATCATGTCATCGCATAGCATAGCATAGCATAGCGCAACATAGCATAACGCAGCATCGCATAGCATAGCATAGCGCAGCATAGCATAGCATAGCATAGCATAGCGTAGCTTAGCATAACACAGTGCAGCATAGCATAGCATAGCATAGCATAGCCTAGCATGTCATAGCATAGCATAGCATAGCAAAGCAACGCATATCATAGCATAACATAGCATGCCATAGCATAGCATAGCACAGCATGGCATAGCATAGCATATCATAGCGCAGCATAGCATAGCATAGCATAGCGCAGCATAGCATATCATACCATAGCCCAGCATAGCATAGCATAGTGCAGCATATCATAGCATAGCATAGCATAACATAGCATAGCATAGCATGCACATGTAGGTGTTGATGTAGGTGTAGATGCAGATGTGATTATAGTTGTAGATGTCGCTGTATGTGTAGATGCATGTGTGCATGTAACTGTAGGTGTAGATGTGGATGTAGGTCTAGATGTAGATGTAGGTGTTAAGCTGCACTACTACTACTACTACTACTACTACTACTACTACTACTACTACTACTACTACTACTACTACTACTACTACTACTACTACTACTACTACTACGACTACTACTACTACTACTACTACTACTACTACTACTACTACTACTACTACTACTACTACTACTACTACTACTACTACTACGACTACGACTACGACTACGACTACGACTACGACTACGACTACGACTACTACTACTACTACTACTACTACTACTACTACTACTACTGCTACAACTGCGACGATTAGGAGAAGGAGGAGAACGGCGTTTACTGTTACTACTAATATTTCTTTCCTCGGGGCTCCAACTCCTAGGTAGGGTCGCTCTGGGATAATTTTTCATGCTGTTTTCCACTCAAGGCAAAGCGTAGGCAGAACGAGGAAGAGCGGAAAGCAACATGAAAACGAAACACACCGTTTGGGTTCCGCCCTGCTCGGCACCGCACGTTGCACCACCCCGCGGCCTGCCCAGGCAGTCTCCCTCTCTCTCTTCGCTGCCTCGAGCAGGGGGGGCGCCTCCCGTGGGGGTCGGGCGGCGGGGGGTCCGCGAGCTCCTCGCACTTCCGCGTGTCGACAATTTGCGCTCCCCGCTCCTTGCACGCTGGTCAAGCCGCTGCTCGGTGCCCCTGTTTCGCTCCCCATCCCCATCCCCATCGAGACCCCCGCCGAAGTGCCGCCCCCAGTTGGGGACGCCCCTCGAAGCCCGAAGGGAACGGCCCATATCCCCATCTCTGGGGGGGTACATCGGCCAGCGGGGCCCAGGCCACGCCGCTGGGGGTGGGGATCGGCCAAGCGATACTCCTTGGCATCGCTCGGACGTGTGCCTGTTTTCATCGGCGAGGACCATCGAGGAGCATCCTGGACCATCAAGCGAAACAAAAACACGCATGGTATCGGAAAATGCGCGGTGAGTGGATGTCCGAGCGACGGCAAGTATCGCTGGTGCAGCCAGCTCTGGCTCGCCGCCGACGAGATACATATTAGCCGGCGTCGACTCCAAATAGACTAGACGACTCAAATCAAGGAAGCAGAGGAATCGAGCATGCTTGGAATCCGCAACCCAGCAAGCAAGCAAGCCTGCAAGCAAGCAAGCAAGCAAGCAAGCAAGGGGGAGTGCCATTGGAAAAAAAGGGGGGGACAGGCATAGGCATAGGCATAGGCATAGCCACGGAATTAGGGGGGGTGGGCATAGGAATTAGGGGGGGGGCGCCCACGGACCCAATTAATAGGGTTTGAGCCAGGACTCCTCCAGGGCAAGCCTGCTTAGCGAAAAAACGCGTCAAGGATGAGGATGCACGCCCCGATGCCCTCGGCCGTCCGCGCGTGCCGCGGGCCGGAGCGCGCCGGCTCCTGCCCCTGGCATCGCTCGGACGTGTGCACTTTTCCTCGGCGAGGGCGATGAAGGAGCATCCTGGATCCTCCTGCGACAAAGCCACGCACGAAACTGCAAAAGAGCACAGGGAATGGACGTCCGAGCGACGGAGAGCCTCCTGCGGCGGGCCCGGAGAGCGCGGCAGGCTGGCGCCGCGCAGCGCCGCCTGCGCGAGGCACAGCAGCGGGGTCGAGGCCGCGCGCAAGCCGCCGCGCGCGAGGCCGCGCGCAGGCAGGCGCCCCCGTGGCCGCGCGGGCGGCGCGCGCGGGCCACCGCGCGGCCCATGGTCGCCGGGCCCTCGCGCGCGAGGCCCGCGCCTTCTTTCGTCGTCGGCCTGCGCTGGCGTTGCAGGTCGAGCGTGGCCCGTGGCCCGGCATCGCGCCGCGCTGCAGCGAGCCGTCGTGCGCGGCGACCGCCGCGGGCCGGGCGGCGCACACGGAGGTGCTGTGTTTTTATCCTCTGGCGCGCAGCGGTCGGTGGCTCCCACGCCCGGGCCACCGCAGCCGTCGCACGCAGGGAGGGGGCTCGGATCCCCCCGTGCTTGCTTTGGAAGCCACTGCTCCTCTGTTATGCGGCAGTCGTATAGGAGAGGGGACAGAGGACAGAGTGCTTACACGGTTTGGAGGACTTCGTGAATGCAGCATGGGTCGGGCTTGAAAGTGCCACGGGCCGCGCTGCTGCTCGCGCGCGTATATCATGGCGGCCGCGGCGCGCCCCCGCCCCGACGTGCCCCACCCCGCCCGAGCGTTCCCGAGTCCTGGGCCCTCCCCCCCCCCCTCCTCCTCCTCCTCCTCCTCCTCCTCCTCCTCCTCCTCCTCCTCCTCCTCCTCTTCCTCCTCTTCCTCCTCCTCCTCCTCCCCCCACCCCCTGGTGACGACCAGTCCAGGATATAAGAAAGAGTGGTTTCGCGTCGCCCAGAACCAGCGCGCTTGTTGCCGTGGCGCCGGGCAGTCCTCCCTCGTTGGCGCCCTTCTGGTGCCTCCTGCAGGCCCTCGTCGCCACGGCCAGATTCGCATCGGGATTCTTGGTCGGAGCGCGCCCCAGGAGAGGCCAGGGGAGCAGCGGTAGCTCCGCAATTTCCGGGGGCGGCCCAGAGGGGGGGATGATGACAAGGAGGTGGGGGGGGGACAGCACGGCTTGGGATGGAATCTCCCCAGATCTCACGGGCCCCGCTTCTTCTGTCAGTGCGTCCTTCGCGCCCCCCAACCCCGTCCGCGCACATGTTTCGGACCATGACTTGCGGGGCCCCCACTTGGGCGACCCCCTCTTGGGCTGAAGTCGGGCATGTCCCTTCACAGAAGGAATGTTCAAAAATAGCAGCAACAACAACAACAAAATAACCCGGGGGCTATTTTTGACTGCTGCTGGAAATGTTGTCTCAGGCAAGAAAAATCTGCCCAGAACCGCCTGCAGGCGGACATGCCCGATCCGACCTTGGGCGGCCCCCGCAGTGAGAGGTGGGGGGTGCCCTCCCCCCTGGCGCGCACCGCGCCGCGGGGGCTCCTCGGCGCGGGGCGGCGGCTGTCCGCGACGGGGGCTCGGCCTGCGGCGGAGATCCGTGCCAGGAACTGCCTTTGCCTGCCTCCAGGGGAGAGGGGGGGGGGGGCACTTTTGGACGCCGGAAATGGGTACGCCTTAGGCGATGCTTAAGAAAACTTGAATTTTCGGCCAGAGTCTCGATTATTCTTAATGTTTCAATGTAAATCCTAAGTTCTGAATGGAAATTTTGGGTTTTTATTCGAGTTCTGAGACTATGAATTTCTTAACCCATGATTTCTTAAGCATTTCGCAGGGTGTACGGAAAGAATGGGTACAATGCCCAACAACAAATGTTGTGCCAAACCAACAGCGGCCGCTGTTGGGCCGGCGGCCTTCTGCCTCAAGTGGACACGGGCCGCGGCGACACCGACAGCGAGTCCTGTTCAGAATGAACAGGAACTGCTGTTGGGCATTGCACCCATTCTTTCCGTATCCGTTTCAGGCGTCCAAAGCACTGGGCCTATTGGCACCTCGATGGCTTTGCCCTGGACAGCGTGCCGCTCCCACACCACCACAGGTCCATGGGCGCCCGGGGGGTCTCGGGGCCGGGTTTCTCGCGGAACGCTTCGCGTGGCCGAGCTCCTACCTGCACCCTGGCAGGGCGGGGGCCGCGCCCCCCTCGCGCTGGTTGCGAGAAGCGTCGGAGGCCGGGAGGTTGACACCGGCATCGTCGGCGGCACAGCTCCACCGAGGGGAGACTCGGCGGCTACAAATTTAGGTGTCCCAGATGGGGTCCGAGTAGATGGCTTGGTATCGCTCGGACGTGTGCTCTTTTTCTCGGCGGGGATTATTAAGGAACATCCTGGATCATCCTGCGGAAAAACCACGCACGAAACCGAAAAAAGCACAGGGAATGGACGTCCGAGCGACGGGGAGATGGGGTCGGAGGATCGCGCCGCATCGCCGGTGCATCGGCGATGCGGCTTGATGTAGAGCCCGATTTTCTCCGCGCCGGCGTCGCTGGTACACCGCCGACATCGCCGATGCATCGCCGGTGCATCACCGGTGCGTCCGCGATGCATAACCGATGCAGTGCAATCCTCCGACCCCATCTACTCGGACCCCATCTCTACAAAGGCTATCCCCGACCCACTCGCGCGATGAAAGAAGTCGCGACGGGAGGTTTCCTCTAACTTCGACCTCTTGGGGGCCCCACCGGGCCTCGGGACCGTCAAAAAATGACTCGGGATTGAAAACCTGTCCCAGTGAATGTGTGGAGACCCTTGGCGGTCGACGTCGTGAAAAAATCATGAAGTCGGGGGTCTGGTATGGTTACGTACGCCAGGGTGTGGTTTGCGATCGGCGCCGTTGGGGCCTGTGGCGCACGACGCTGTCCTAGTCGGTCCTCCTCGGGGCGCTGCAGAAAACTCTATCGAGGTTCCCGCCGGCCCCCCAAGGTTGCCCCCCTCCCCCACAGGGTGCCGGTTGCAGACCACACCCTTTGTAAACCACACCCTTCGGAGTCGCCGAAACATGATCCCGATCTCGGTGATGGTGGTACTGTTCGGGCTTCAAGGTGGCGGAAAAAGATGACCACCAGCAACATAATCTAGAATCATCTTCCTTTGGTGGAGGCAACCCCCCAGTGTTGGTGGTGGTGCCCATGTCCAAGCCTCCGAAAGCGCAGAGCTCGAAGGAGAAAGGGCACAAACATAAACCACCGCAGGTCCGTGCTGATTCCGTGGATCTGCTCCGCCGGACCGCCCTGGCAGCGCCTCTGGCGCAGCCCCCGGCGCGCTCTGGGCGCCAGGGAGGGGGCTCCAGCTCAGATCCAAGAGATCCGCGCGAACTTCCGAAAGCTTCTTCCATCGGCGTCACCCAAACATACGTATACTACATGTGCGTCGCACCCCCAGGGGCGACGCGCGCACCGAGAGATCTCATAGTGTATGCGTCGTGGCGGACGCTTTCTGGCCGCACCGCTCGGGAAACGATACACTACAAGCTGGGTGCACTATACGTTTAGGTCGGACGCGCGCCTCCAAGGAACATATATATATATATATATATATACACATATCAAGCAGTGTCGAAGCGTCCAGGCTCGCCTATAGCCCTACCAAACAATGTTCTAAGAACCTTGTGCGGCTTCCACGAAATGTTCTTAGAATATTTCTGGCGGAGCCTGCTTTGTTTTAACACATCGAGTTCATGTTCTAAGAACATTGTCTTATTCTTAGAACATTGTTGGGTTCTAAGAACACTTCGCGGTAGGACTACAGGAATGCCAGGACGGTCGGTCCTTGCTCAGATATTAGCACCAGCACGTCTCCGTGCGCCCCTTTCCACGGTGATTACACTCGCTTGACATCGCTCGGACGTGTGCAATTCTTCTCGGCGAGAACCATCGAGGACCCTCCCAGACCATCGAGCAAAAAAAAAACACGCACGAAACCGAACAATGCACGCACGAAATGGACGTCCGAGCGACGGGGAGCTCGGGGGACATATCAAGCAGTGGCGAAGCGTCCTGGCGCGCCTACAGCCCTACCAAACAATGGTCTAAGAACCTTTTGTGGCTTCCACGGGATGTTCTTAGACAGTGGACGCACGAAGTGGACGTCCGAGCGACGGGGAGCTCGGGGGGTGCAGCCCGTGCCCCGCGGGCGCCTCGTTGGGGCCGCCCCGCGGAGGCGGCCCCGTGCGCCCGCTGCGCTCCCCACCCCGCGGAGGGCTCGCCCCGTGGCCGCCCTACTCCGCCTCGTGGCCGCGCTCCGCGCGCGCGCGCCCCGCGCGCGCGGGCGCGGAGGCCCCCCGAGGCCTCGCCACGCGGCCGCCCCGTGCGGCCTCGTGTTTTGAGTCGGGCCTGTCCCTCGACGGGAGGAGTCTTCAACCATAGTGTGAAAAAATACTCGAGGGACGATGTTTGTTGGTGTGAAGAAAAGACTCGGGGGACGAGGTTTGTGCACCTGTGCACCATGTTTAAGAATTCGCTGCGTGGGTTTCATTTGTCGTCCACAATCGGCCTGCAGGGGGGCAGGCCCGACCTGAGCCTCGTGGGCGCCGCGTGCCTTGAACTTGCACCGCAGAATTCACACCACAACTCACACCGCACAGCGTACACCGCACAGTTCACACGACGTAAGTAGCTCACACCGCATGGCTTACACAGCATGGCTTACGCCGCACAGCTCGCACGACGTCGCTTACACCGCAGAGCTTACACCGCCTAGCTCAAATCTCCCAGCTCACATCTCAGAGCTGACACGGCATAGCTTCCGCCACATAGCTTATACCGCGCAGCGCTCCCTTTATACACAGTGCAACCTCCCCCTGTGTGGAATCCACGCCTGCCTGCGCAGGCCTGGCGCTGCAGACGCCCTCCCCGGTGCTGCAGCGGCGCCCGTGCGAGAGGCTCGTCGTGCGGCTGGCAGACCTCCTCTGAGCCGCGGCGCCCCTCCCGAGGCCAGCCTCGGGCTGGGGGGTCGGGCGGGGGGCGGCGCTTCGAGGTTCGAGGTTTCGGGTGGAGGGCCCTGATGTCTCATTCTATTCTTAGCCTTGGTCGCCAGGAGGGACTTCGAGCACCAACAGACCGAAGCTGGAGGGCTTTTTGCCCGTGTCGGGCCCTGGGAGGCGATACTCGTTCGACACCTTGCCAGCGTGTCGGACAGACGGTGCTCGAAAGTGTTCGCGGGGATGTGGCCCTCGAGCACGAGGAGGACATTGGAAGGCGAGGAGGGGTGACGAAGGGGTCACACCGGGGGAGGAAGTCTCGACAGGTCCGAGGCTCCTCGTCCTCCTCGTCTTGCTGCTCCTCCTGCTCCTCCTCCCTCCTCCTGCTCCTCCTCCTCCTGCTCCTCCTCCTGCTCCTCCTCCTCCTCCTGCTCCTCCTCCTCCTCCTCCTCATCCTCGTATTCCTCATCCTCCTCCTGCTCCTGCTCCTCCTCCTCCTCCTCCTCCTCCTCCTCCACCTCCGTGCTTCTCGGGCTCAGGCCGCCCGAGGCGGAGGACGCAGTCGTCGGCCAGCGGTTTCGCTCAGAGCGTACTCGGTTCAGGCGAAGGACGAGGGAGGAGCGGCATGGGGAGCGCAGAAGGAACTTGGGCTGCAGGTCCACAAGGTTTCTTTTTGTTGGCAGGAGGGGAGGTCGTTATGACCCCGATGCCAGACCGTGGATCCTGCGGGGTAGGAGCTCGTCGGAGGTGGCGGCTCGAAGGAGAGGCTGCGGCTAGAAGGGGGGAAGGGCGGGGACGCTAAATACGCCACCGCCTGGTGTGTGTCGTCTGCCTGGTGAGAGTGGCTCCGGGCCTCCTAAACGGGGTCCGCGTAGATAGGGTTGGAGGATCCCGCCGCATCGCCGATGCATCGGCGATGCGGCTCGGTGCGGAGCCCGGTATTCTCCACGCCGACGTCGCCGATACATCGCCGACGGCGCCGATGCATCGCGGACGCATCGCCGATGCGGCGCGACCTCCCCCCATCTATTCCGACCCCACCTCGGAGGCCTGGAACGAAGACGCCCGAAAACCCATCGGCCCCAGCGACTCGCCACGCGGCCTGGGCAGCGGCCCGAGAGCAAGTTGCCTGGCAGTTCCTGGGGCCCAGGTTTTGCCGACGCGGATCCTCGTGGAGCGGGCACGAGAGGGGGCGGTGAGATCGTGAGGCAGGGTGGGCCCGCCCAGGGTCCTCGGCATCGCTCGGACGTGTGCAATGCTTCCTCGTCGAGGGCCACGGAGGAGCATCCTGGAGGACTTGGCGAAGAAAGCACGCACGAAATCGAGAAATACACGGGGAATGGACGTCCGAGCGATGGCAAGGGTCTCTCGAGCCCCCGTCGCCGCAAGCTGCTTCCTTCGAGCCTCCCGCGGGAGGACTGAAGCGGAGGTCGGCGGAGCGCTGGGTCCGCGAGGGGCGCACCTCGCGCTGCCGGCCACGTAGGATCCTCTCGGTGCACAAGTAGGTGTTGTGCGCGTTCCAGTCCAGTCCTCCTCCTCCTCCTCCCTCCTCCTCCTCCTCCTATTCCTCCTCCTCCTCCTATTCCTCCTCCTCCTCCTGCTCCTCCTCCTCCTCCTGCCGGCCAGTCCTCGTGTCTTGTCCAGGACAGATGTACGATGCAGATGTGTACCACGCTGTATATGCACAGCCCCCCCTCCGCCCCGACCCCCCCCCAGGGCTCACAGTCCCCGTCATCACATCACGTTTCTTAGAATCGTCATGCTCGTCTTGCTACCTCTGGAAGGTTGGTCGTCATCGCCCTCCTCTTTGCGAGCTTCCATTCCCGTCCCTTTTCGTCGTATGTTTCGTCTTTCTGCAGCTCTGGTTACGGAGCTTATTGCAACCAGTAGTGCAGCTTCTGGTATAGCTCACAATGCAGTTCCTATTACAATCCATATTACAACCAGGAGTAGAGTTTCCACTCAACCTCACAATCCAGCTCCCACAAAAGCCATTGATACAGTTCCTGCTACAGTATTCATTACAGCACTCCTACATCTCCAATTACAACTCCCATTAAACTTCCTAGGACAACCACCATCACAACTCTCAGCACAGCTCCTACACCGTGCCTTTACAGATCAGTGTGGCTTGCATTACGGTTCACATTACAGCTCTCACCTCTATCCATATCACAACGATTGCAGCTCTATTACATTTCTGAATTCAGCTCCGACTGCAACCCCTACGGCCGCCTATAGTACAGCGTTCACTGTAACTCGTACACGAGGTCCTTCTGCAGCTCTAACTCTTACTCTAGCCCCGACCCCATCTTCGAATATAGCCGATAGTGCAGCTCTCACTGGAATCCGAACACAAACATACCGAGTGCTGCCAGCTGCACACCTTCTACAACAGCTTTTCCGACAATTCAGACAACTGTTCATTCTACAGTTTCTATTTCAGGTCCTACTTCAGATCCTACTACAGGAATTGGTGCAGCTCTCGTCACAACTCTCACCACAGTTTCCATAACGGGTGGAACTTCCCCTCCCGGTACATCGCCGAGTGCAGTTGTTGTTGCAATCCCATCCATATCAAGCAGTACAGTTCCAACTACTGGTCCTGTTACAGAGTCTACATTACATATGAATACAGTACCTACTACAGTTCCTTTACATAGCCGGTCGCTCAGTTCCCGCTACATATTATACCAGAGCACGGGTCACGTTGCAGGCCGTACTACACATTCCATATTTCTGTGCCGAAAGAGGTCATAGGGCATTATTGGCTACAGCCAGTATGACAGCTCCCCCACAGCTCCCTACTAGTCTTACAGCAGTCCGTATGACAGCTCCTGTACGAACACAGCTTTCAGTACAGCCTATGATAGAGCTCCCACTACAGTCCATGTTCCAGTCAGTATTGCACCTCCCGCAGACCAGTGACATTAGTAAAGATGGTACTGCAGCTTCTTCTGCAGTTTCACTACAGATCCCACTGCAAGTTTCACTGTAGTGCCTGCTGCAGCCAGGAGAACAGCTCTGGCTACAGCTCCTGTGGCAATTATTGTGACGGGTGTTTCTATAGTTCACACTATAAGTCCTATTGTTCTTTGAAGAGCTCCCACTTCATGCAATGCTAGACGCTTCGTGTGGTCCCACCAGCCCCTCCAGAAACTGTGCCCAGACGAGTTGCCTTGATAGGGTTACATGGAGGAGCATGCAGTGGAATAGAGGGCTGGGTAAAACGTCGTACCCCACGGGGGGGATGGAGGAGGAATGGAGGAGGAAGAGTGGGAAGGGGAGGAGGGATGAGGAGGAGGAGGACGACGACGAAGAATGAATACGTAGGCGGATGAGTAAGAGGAGGAGGAAAAGTAGGGCGAGCAGAAAGGCCAGAGGCCTCTTGACTCTTGGATGCTGTTCGGAGTCTATTCGAATGTCTCTTGACAGTTTCTTGCAGGCCTCTTGGGGCGTCGTCGGGGCCTCTTGGCGGTCCTGGGGGTCTCTAGAAGCGGCTTGGGTCCCTCGGAGGAGCCTCTGGGGGTCTCTTGAGGGTCTCTCAGGTTACTCTTGGGGACCTCTTGGAGGCTTCTTGGGGCCTCCTGGGGCACGCTTGGGAGCCTCGGGGACCATCTTGGGGTCACCTTGGAGGAGAACGACCAACGTTGGGGGGGGTACCAGCTTAGCGTTGCCCCAACAGGAGGCCAACATGGGGCCAACATCTACGTAACGTCCACGATGTTTGCCTTGTCGCCGAGGCCATCGTGGACACTCCATTGAGTCGCGACCCCCCCCCCTCCAGACCCAGGGGTGGGGGCAGGGGAAATGGTAAACCCCTCCCCGAAGAGGTTGGAAGAGGAAATGTCCTCAACCACTGGTGCCCTAAATGGCTGGTGGGAGTTTCACTACAGCTCCTGATGCAGCCCCGACCACAGCTTATGATTCACATCATACTACCTATTCCAGGGCAGCTCTTGTTGTGATTCCCACCAGAGCCAGTCGTACAGTTTCGAGTGCTGATCCGACTGAAGCTCCTATTCGGAACGAAAATACAAACAGATCTCAAGGCCGATCTCATCGCAGCCCCCACTGCAGCTCCACATGCAGCTTCTAGCGAAGTCGACACTGCAGCTCTCACCAGGGCTCCTACTACGAGGACAGCTCGTAGGACAGCTCCTTGACACAGCCACTGGTACAGCTCCCGCTGCAGCCTCCAGTGCAGCTCGTAGTACAGTTCCAACTGCAATTCTTACTACTGCCCGCCACTACATCTCCTGTAAAAAGCCGTAGTGCAGCTCCTGCTGCAGACATCCAACGACAAGTCCGAGGTCAGCTGTTATTGCACTCTACACAACAGCCAGAATTACAGTTTTCAGCACTTTTCTGACGAGCACCCATATTACACTTCCAACCACAACTACTTGCATACATCCCAATGCTGCCTCAAATACGGTTGCCCGTGCAGTCAGCGGCACCGTTCTCACTACAGTTCCGAATACAACGTCTACTCCATATCCCAATACTACTACATTTCCCTGACACACTCACCAGGACACAGCTCGAATCGTAGCTCCTAGTACAAACCGCAGCGCAGCTCCCATTTCAGGTACTCCTATGAGCCCCCTACAGCCCTCACAGTAGTCCGTACCGCAGCTCTCATTGCAGCCAGTAGTACAGCCCCTTTTTCACAGCTCGTACTACAGATCTTAGCAATGTTCTTACTACAGCGGCTACTACAGCTCTTATTTCGGATTCGACCATAGTCGTACAGTTCCCTCTAGATTTGGTCGTACCGTTTCTAATGCAGGTCTTACACATCTTGGGTCAAGGAGGACGACGAGGATCGCCAGGAGGAGGACAGGAACGAGGATAGGGAGGAGAACGAGTAGGACGAGGAGGAGGGAGATGAAGAGGATGACGAAGAGGAGGGGAAGGGGGGGAAAGCAAGGTGGAGGGCAATAATACTGATAAGGTTGCCGAGGGGGATGATGAGGAAATCGACGAATGATTAGTTACTCCTTCTCTTCGTCGTCCTCCGGCTCCTCTTCCTGCACTACCTCCTCTTCTTCCTCTTCGTCTACAAGCATTGAGCCTGAAGCCTCCCGGGCACCACGGCATTCACCCTTGCGGTGCCGATTGCGTGCGAGTTATGATGCGATCTGTTACCACTCTTACGACGGCTCATACGCCCGATCGCTTCGAAATCCAAAGGTGCTTCGGAGATGGTCCATATTCCCCAGCTCGCGAAAAACTGGCAGCTCGCTGGATCTAGTGGTTTCAACAGATGATGACATATCGTCACGTTCATTGCCAGAATGTTGCAACGATGCTCGGCTATCCTCCTAAACGAGGCGCCCACGCTACAGCCGAGTGGACAACTCAGCGATTCAGCCAACCTTGAGGCAACACGATTTGAGTACATCTTTTACTTCGGGAAGTCGGCGGCACCAGGAGTTTCTTCGAGGTTTGGGGCGAGTGTGCATATTATTGGCGCTCCTTTTTCGAACTCGATTCCGAAGAGTTTTTGCGCACTGACCCCTCGTCCTGACGCACAGAATCTTGAAACCGAAAACGAAGAACACATTCACATGCATAATACACGGATGGAACTACACGCGGTCCAACTATGAACACATATCGGGCGTTCACGGGATGTCAACCACATGAGTGCCAATATAAAAATAGTGATTTTACAATGGCGCCATCTCGCAACAAAACGAAAATTGTATGATTAGATTCACAAGCGTACATCATGCTCGCAAGCACTTGAAACAATCCGACGGGTAGGAGAGATGTACTATGGGAAGGTGGCGCATGTATTGGGAATCCGAAGGGCTAGATGGACGGCGTTGCCGCCCCTGTCCCGAAAGCGTTTCTGTTGTATGCGGACAAGCCTTCCTTTGTTCCAGCTGGTGCTCTATCGACGTCTCTCAACCGCCTTCCCGAATTACCCCCCGCTCTTTCACACCATGCTTGGATTTCTGGTGGCAAGAGACGCAGCTGAGGGGAGCGAGGCCGGCGACGGACGGAAGCAGGAACGCAGCACGGAGCGCAAGACGGAAAGAAGAGTTGTACAGAAATCCGTCTCCGTGGCCAAAGCGTTCCCTCACCCGCAAAAACGTGCACTTGTCATGAAGCGGGTGCTCAAGCTCAGCCGGTAGCGCCGGGACTTTTCATCAGCCGGTTCTGACGGGTTTTTGGTCCGCGCCGCACGCGTCCTCGTCTCACGCCGGAGCGAAGAGACCGAGGCATAAGGCAAAGAGACGAGAGACGAAGGCAAGGAGCACGGAGGGGGGTCCACACATTTGGGCCATGGGAGGGCCGATCAAATGCCACGCGTCTTTCGGCGATTCTGTCGGAGCTTCGAACTACCAGGACCTCCGAAGTCATGGACGGACTACGACGAGACTTCAGTGGATCATAAGTGCGAGCTCGTTCCATTTTACCGCCAGGATAAAGTGTGCCAGAAGGTGATTCGCAGGGTCACCCACCTAACGAAAGACGTGGGACTTCGTATGCATATTCTGAGCGGCGTCGAGTAGGCACCCGAGACGAAAAGGATGTCTGGCTGTTCTA